GCTTGCGCAATTTTGACGAGCAACATGGATACTGCTGGAAGCTCCGTCCCATTATTGACAGCAAGGAAAAGAAATTTGTCCGCCTCGATTTGGGCGAAGGCCAATTCTCTTCTGTCAAGTTTTACAGCCTTCCTGCATCAATCAAGGAAGCTCGGCAAATTGCCTGGGACGAGCACCTAGAGGACGAGAAATTCAAAAAGTTGAATGGTATGTACCCCAGTCACAGGGACTTGAAAATCTGGCACCGCCGGTTCAGGGAGGTGGTGGAGGAGGAAAGGCTGAGCGAGGAGCAGGCTGCCGAGCTGAGGGATACTGGGTATTATTACACCCTGTCGGACGACGCTGAGACGTCTGATATCGAGCCGCCTCACACTCAGCCGAATGTCGTGACTTCTCATTTACGTTGTGCAACCAACCCACGGCGGGAGAATAGAAATATTCTCATGTATAAGAGACAAACCGCGAGATATCATGCCGAGCAGAGGCGCAAGGAGAAGAAGCGGGATCTTGAGTTGGCCTGTAGAGAATCGCTAGACGACGACGATGACGACTGGTATTAGTCCTCGGATTTTCTGCCGGTTTGATGCATGCGAGAAGAATTTGGCTTAGTTCCAGTAAGTTTAAGAATTGATATTTTTATGCTGACTCCGGTTTTTGTCCTCACCTCAAGTGAATGGAATGTGGCATCGAAACTTGATAAAAAGTGCCTTCTCCCGATAGTCATCAGAGCAGGTATGATCTCCACCAAGCCTCTTCTTCCTCTAGCCAAAGACGAGGGCTTCCAGGCATACCAAACATGTGACCCTCGCCTTGAACCTCCCTGATTCTCACATCCCCTCCCTTATCCTTGACAGCTTTGTAGATGAGCCGGGCTTGCTCGATCGGCACCACGGTATCCGCAACGCCATGAAGGAGGAACAGCGGGGCCCCAATCTTGTCGGCGTGGTAGAGGGGGCTTCTCTCACGATATCTTTCCTCCTTTTGCTCGTCCGTCATACCCGGATCCAGAACAAGCGCTCCCATGTACTCAGACTCTAGCTTATGCGTGGACTCGTTCAGCTTCTTGACGTCACTCACACCGCAGACGCAGAATCCCGCGTCAAAGGTCGTAGGATGGCGGACCAGGGCCTGGAGGACATTGTAGCCGCCAGCGCTGGCACCGACGATACCCACCTTGCCGACTCTTCCTGCTTCAACCAAGTGCTTGGCGACCTCAGCAGCGTCATCGGCATCGACGATGCCCCATTTTCCAAAGAGCGCCTCGCGATACTCTCTGCCGTGTCCTGTCGAGCCCGTGTAATTCAACGCGAGATAGGCATAGCCACGTGCGGTGAAATACTGAGTTCGTAGCTTGAGGCCAGAGCCGGTGTAGCCTGTTGGTCCACCATGCGAGGAAATGACCAAGGGAGGTCTCGCGCCGTCCGGGCCGAGGAACTTGGGGTTCTTTGGCATCCACAAGGTGCTGTAGATTGTGCGAGATGGTTTTTCCTTCGACTCAAACTTTACAAGTTCCGGCTTTGAGAATAGTGCAGCGTCTAGCTTTTCTTCTGTGGTTCCTCGAAGAATCGTCGTGTCCCCACTGATAACATCGATCTTGTACAAAGCAGATGGGGAGCCGGCTTCGTCTGCAATAAGGAGCAAAGATCCGTCGTCCAGACGAGCCATCGCATCGTTAACAATGCCGCAAATACCCGATGACCCGATGGGTTTCCAATCGTTGTTATCAAGGTCGAGAAGAATAAGCTGAGCCTCGCCAAAAGTTATCGCTGCCGCAGCTACGTAACGTTCTGAAAGTGGCGCGTATGTTTGACTAAGGCGATGTTAGTGATACCTCGCCCAACTTGGAAGCTTTTGCGTCTACTAACCTTCCCTGGTACCATCGAATCTCTCCGATTTCAGCATTATCCAGACCGCTCAACTTGATTTGTGTCGGCTTTTCAGCGCCAGGAGCTAGACGGAATAGTCTCCGGAAACCATCAACCTCAATGCCGAGGAACAAGCTTCCGTCAGGACCCCATCGAGGCTCAGCAGCCCCCTCTCGGTTATTGCCAGCAACCAAGACCGCGTTCTCGACTGTCGCTTCTGAAGTCCAATCAGCAACGAAGATCTTGGCCGATGCGAATGGGAGATTGGGCTGATCCCACTCCATCCAGGTTAGCCTCTTCCCGTCAGCACTAAACTGAGGGGTGTAGTAAAAGTCAGCGCCCTCGACAACGCGCTTGACTTCGCCGGTGTCTGCATGAATAGCGGCGACATAATTCCGAATCTCGTGAGGCGTGTTGATGGTGTGATCCTCTTGGTTCGCCAAGACCCAGGGGCTCGCGGGGTTGGCGCTGAAGTTGGAGTATCGTAGCTCCGAGTCGCCGGTAAGATCTGAGACTTTGCCGGTGTCGACATCGAGTGACTTAACGGTGTTGTCGCGGTTGGAGAAGACGATGCAACCATCCACGGCGACGTCGTAAGTAGAGCCACCGTATTCGTAGACTGTGTTGCCGGCGCTGTAGGGTGCCGGTAGGAGATCCTTCAGGCCACCATCCTTGGTAATCTCCACAAAGACCTTGCGTCCATCATCCTTCGACTCGATAAAGTACGCTCGTCCCGATTGACGCTTTGCGTCAGTCAGCAAAAGCAAATCGATTGGCCGTCACGTCTTCAAGATGACTTACATGGACTCGAGGTGATGATACAGACCAGCTCTTGGAGGTCACAGTGTCAACGGTGATTGGGCTCTCCCAATCGCCATACCGGGCCACCCGTTTAGTGACCATGGTGCCGATAATCCGCAAGAATGTGGTTGAGCGATCTTGGATGTTGAGGGAGATAATTGAGATTCGCCGTGGAAGAACGCGCCAGCACGTGAGTCACCAGTGGTTTGAGGGGTTGGAGATGACGCTTACGTGAAGTGAGAGTAGCACGATCGAGATAGGCAGGAGACACGTGCCGGGTTTGCCGGTAGCGAACTTCGGTGAAGCCCCGCTTTTCAGCCGATGTTGGCCGCGCTGTCCACCCGGCAGTGGGGGAAGCTTGCCGTGGTTGTCGGCGTCGCTGTTCGGGGCGCCTTTGAGCGGCTTGGCCAACCTGGCCAACCCCAAGTATTGGATTAAGAAAGAGACGCGGCCTCAACATCAATTGGAAACTTTGGATTTTGGTTCATCATGGTTGACACTGCGCTCAGAGAGGCAGCTATTTCAACCAAAGCATACTGCCTACTCTGTCTACTAGTACAAATCGTGAGATCTAAGTTCGCCAAGCGGGAAAAAGTCTAGAATTGAGCCTCATCGTTGCGAATATATACCAACTCAAACATGGTTATCAGGTAGATATCGTTGCTTAGTCTTTCCCTCAGTCTTCAGACTAAAAATACAGCCTCAAGTCGAATTTCAAGGTCAATCGCTGAAGCCATCGCTTGACTGTACCCCGGCGACCGGCGTCAAGCTTGGACAGAGGCCAATCCGGTCAAAATCTTAGCCGTACAAGTGACCGTAGCTCTTCACTCGCCGGGATATTGCCAGAACAGAAAAACGAGTCAAAATGGGCTGATTGCCAAGGCGAACTAAATGCCGTGCGAGGAGGGAATGTTCCTGACTCAAACTTCAATACTTGCCAGAAGCCAGCGAGATTTCTCAGTTACTCGGCATATTCTTTCTACAGTGACTTGTGAAATCAGTCCTCAAGGCAAGCCCAAGCGTCATCTTCTCGCTTCGACCGCAAAAGCTTTTACCAAGATTACCAAGCGCACAGAAGAGAAGGAATTCTCGATCCCAGAGTTGATCAGAACCAGGGGGGGTTCCGGTTGCGCAAACCTGGACCAGCTCCGTGGCGCCATCCAACGCCCGCGTTTCAGTCTGGTGCAAGTTGAGCCGGCACGGCAACTCGCGCAAGCATCGCAAGCGCTACGGTGAACGGAGCAACTGGTCGCATGAGCGCTATCCGCCGGCCTGGGTAGAGTTGTTGTTGGCCCGTTCTGGTGCTGGACACCCTGGCAATTGGGGGCCAGGATAGGGGTTCCGTTGGTCTTTCAGCGCGCTGATTCGACCAAAGCATCGCTCACGTTTGAGAGTCTAAGTTTAGCGTACGACAGCTGTCATCTGAGACTTTGTGAAGGGGTTCGGATTCTACCCCTTGAAAGTCAGCCGAAATTCAGGATCGTTAGGTGACGGTTCAGAAGGGGCGGCAGTAAAGCAAGGGTTTTGTGGTGGCATGTGTCGACTAACAACGGCAAAATTCTAGCGCTATCCGAGGGAATCAGACGAACTTGAGAGGATCACAACCTTAGTCTTTACTCTAGCAACTCCATTCACCCATGATCTAGATAACCCACGGCTCACCTCTGGTGGCATTGCTCTTCAACACCAAGACTCCAACAATCAAATGAACTCAAAAACTTGGTAATATTTCCCTCGTCGTTGATCCAGTGGTCGATGCTTCTCCCCCGCATGAGATACCATCCGAAAACGACAAGTACAGACGAGTTGCCACACCGCCAAGCAGCGCCAATGCCGGAGCTCAACGACAAACTGGCATGACCAGCCGCCCGCCGTTGCGCAGCACGCGCAGCACGCAGGGCGACAAACCCCCCCAAATTACCGCATTCGTCCATCATGAGGCTCTCGAGATGCACCTTGGCGCACCTTGGCGGTGCGGATGGTGGGGGAGGACTCCTCTACTTGCGCATCCTTGCGGTCTTGTGTGGGTTTCATGATGCCGTTCCTCTTGGCGAGTCGGCGGCCCTCACAGTCCACCCCGTGCATGTTTGTCGTACACGAGAAAGAAGAATCTTATCGGCGGGATGAGTTCGTATGGACATATAACCTCTTGGAATACCTAGATGCCGCCCACCGGGCTTAGTCGTGATGATTGCGCTCTTTTCAGTTTCTGTCTAGTGTATTTCATTCTATCAACTACTCTTCTTCACGGCAAGCCCGCTATTACGAGTCAACCGCGTTGGTCTCTTTGAACTTTCCCATTCATACTAATAACCTTATCTTTGCGTTTTCAAAATGAGGCTCTCAACGGTTGTCACCGTCTCCTGCCAACTACTCCTAGCAGCATCACTGCCAATCTCGACCACCGAAATAGTCACCCGAAGCAACGGTATCGCGCAAGGGTCCGCGGATTCTAGTCTCGCAGAACGAAGCCTTGCACAAAGCGCAGCGACAACTCCCTCAAAAGCTACCGAAAAAGAAGCCGCAGCCGGTGAGGCAGGCGCAGCGGAAGGAGGAGTCGCCGGAGGAGCAGAAGGCGGCGCTGCCGGCGGCGAGGAGGCAAAGGATCCCAACGAAAAGGAGATTGAAGGGCAATTCATTGTCCCTGTGCGTTTAGGCGGTGCGAATGTCAAGCAAGATGTTCTCTTTCCTCCTGCAGTATGCCTCAGACTCTCATTAACGCTGACTCAAGATGTAATATATCTAACGCTTCTCCGCAGAAAAATGGACGCTTCGAAGTCGAATTCCAAAACGCAGTCGGCCGAACCCTCACCGTGACGGAAAACAGGTCTCCTGCGCCGCCCCCCGCGGGGTTCACCGCCATCGAGGCCGTTTCGTACAAAGTCAGCCTTGCGGAAGGTGCACAGGGTGTGACTCTCTCAAAGATTGACTACATTCTCAACCCTGGAAGTGAGTTAGACGTTCGAGTCCTGCTTGGCAGCAGCAGGGGTGAGCTAACATGAGATGTAGATACCCTCGACATCAGCAAGGGACAAGTGGGCCGCCTTTTCCCGGAGCTCAACGCCTTCATCATTGACCCGGCTCTTGGGGAACTCGAATTCGAAGCCGAGGAGAACGAGTTGACCTTGAAGGTTGCCAACATGAATGGCGAGTTCGCCTTCTTCCTCCCGCAGGCTGGTGCTGCTGCCAGTGCGGCTGCATAGAAATCATACTTGACTCTGTCTTGGCAAGCTCATCCGGAAGCGTATGACTTGCGATCAGGCTGTATGGCTGCATGTACCGCAGAATTCTAGCAGCGATGTGATGGACAGAAGTGATGAAAGTAGAGAAGCCGGGCAAACACTGTAACCCATTCATCCTGTAGCAGACATTCGTTGAACGAATACTTTAAGTTCTCTTTGTATATCAGTCTCAGTATTTCTACTTTTTCTCAGAAGCCTTCGAGGATAATACCCATATACCAGATTTACATTTTGCAGAATCCAATTCGTCTTAGGCCATGACATGCTTTGCGGACATATGCTGCCCCTTCGACACCTTCCCGTTGAAGACCGTTTACACTCGATATCGCCCATGTCTCCTGGGCAAGAACGTTGGCAATACAAGGCACTATCTGGCCCAAGCCGAGGGCTAAGCGAGAACTTCAAGAGTCACAAGCATACAGACATTGGGTCTAAGCAGAGAGTTAGCAAGTCGCACATGACCAACGACATGAGACCAAGCATTTGCAACATACATCTAGCATCAGCTTCGTCGCTTTTTAGGCGCTCAGTGCGCTTTGACGCGACACTTGTGAGCCTCATGGAGAGACTTCATTCCCGCGCTTGACTCATCCAGCACTCGTCTCTGATCTTGCGTGCTGGCAAAGGCTTATATGGGACCATCCCCATCGTAGAAGAGCTTATCGGACGTGCAATACCAGGTTCATACTAGCATCTCGCGGCAAAGTTTGAGCCTTTCACTGGCTTCCCTCAAGAGCTCTGAGTGAGACTGCTTTAGGCTCGTCTCGAGCAGGTCCAGCAGTTCCGGCAATCTCTCATTGAGGTCCCGCGTGGCTTCTTCGTTCAATTCTTCCAGACTCGAGAAATAGGCCAGGTAGCGAGCAATTTCGCTGTACCTTCCCGGGGGCGTATTTCTGTTAGGGATCCCCAGAGCCTGTACAAAAGACCATATCGTCAAGGCCGCGTAGTACATGATCCATGGCCGATGAGGATCCGGTTCGCTGCGGCAGGAGTAGTAGACAGAGACCGGTTCAGGTAGGGCGCCGAAGCTGCTAGTTCGACGTTTTGGGTTCTTATGGTCTACAAGAACTCGGTAGAGAAGTCTAAAGGCATGCAAAACGGCGTGTCGGGTGGATGGTGCATTCGACCAGGTCCTCATTCTTGCAACGGCATTGGCATGATCGCGAGTTGAGACTTTGCGACCGACCAGTCGCTTTGCGCCGGCATATACTTGGCAATCGACGATGTCGACGTGAAGACTGATATGAGCTAGGTGGTAGAGAACAGCGGCAGAGTGGAGGGGCCCGTTGGAGCTTGGTGGCTGTCCTAGCCCTTCGGATAGGTCGTTCGCACCAACAGCGCTGTCAAAGGACTCTTTCCACTCGTCAAAAGCGCGGAAAAGTATCTTTTTCCAGCTGTCGTGCGTTTCCGTGCTAGGAGTACGCAGGTCAAGCCACTTGAGGTGAGACTCTCGACGAGACAGATGCCATCCGACACTGAGCAGCCCCGACATGATAATCATGCGCCCAAAGGTGTGTGTCTTAACTTCTTGCCCATGTAAAGCACTTTTCAGTCCATCGAGGAAGGACACCTGCTTGATGCCGTACATTCTGTAGTTCCCGTCGAGTTGTCGGAAGACATTCGGGGTCGCGGCGGTCCACAAGCCATCGTCACATGGCAGGGGAAGTCGGATCTCGTGTGGTGCCATATCGGCGTTGTGGCCGAACATGGCTGCGTGGACAGTGTCCATCATGAAGGCCGCAAAAACAACGCGATGCATGGATTCGCTCTCAGCCCATCGGACCCACCACGTTCTAGAGTCTGAAGAAGGTACTTCGTTCGGTGCCGGGGCTTCTTCCTCTGGGGGCGATTCGCTTCCTGCTCGTCCAATTAAAGGGCTGCCTCTTCTGAGGAGATTCAAGAGCGCTGAGTGGTATATATGCGATCTCTCGTGCATGCGTCTGGAAGAAAATATCTTCTCGTAGAACTCGAGCAGAAGCATTGCTTGAGCTATGGACAGGCCCACCGGCGCTGAAGCTTCCTCGTGAGTAAGGATTTCCCATCGACTGCTGGAGATAATCACGTCTGCTAACCCCCCGTACGGCTCCAAGTTGCCGGTCGAGTCTCTGCTGCTCAAGGATGCAGCGCCCAAAGCAATCATAACAAGTAGCAAGAAGATAGAGCAGCGATTAGAAGAAAAGGTTGGCTGATGGACGATCGGCAAGCGTGGCGAGATTCTCTTCCAGTATTCTTGTAAACAATCTCTCATCATTTCGAGACTCAAGGCAGGCAAGTCTCCGTTGCTCTCTTGGACAAGACTGACTATACGCGGCTCATACTTGGGCTGCTTGTGTCGGAAGACCTTCAACCACCTTAGGACCTCCTGCCGCCGGTGCTCACTGATGAGTTCGTCACTAACTTCAACTTGCCGAGGCGGCGTCGGATCCAGCTGTGAACGGCTCGTCAGTGACTCGTAGTCATAGGGGATGTTGTTGTTGAAAGTGGATTCAAGGCCGCCTTCGAGGAAGGGAAGGTTAGCGACTCCATTAAAGTCACTGAAGCTTGCTTGTGAGTCAAATAGCCAGACGGCAAAGTTCTCCCGTGAAAGTGCCTCGTCAGGCTGGAATCCTCTTGGGTCAAATGACGGCATAAGAGGTGGTGCCTCGGGAAGGGTCATCTGATCGCGTCCGTAGTAAGCAGGCTTCGGTCGCATCATCTCGACAGCCATGTCATCGATGGAAGGCCATGTGGTAGGTTGGCTGATCCTATTGACATGCTGAGCAAGGGACGGGTTTGATGCACCCGTTGTCGGCGTGGGCGTAGCAGAGTCTGGAGTTAGCAGGATGGCGGCATCGTGAGGGCCGCTTGTTGAAGGTTGAGGAAATGCTGGCCGTGGTGGTGCACCTGCAGTCGGGGATGACACAACCGGGCCGGACTGGGTGCCAGATGCTGCAGAGGCGAAGCTGGGCGCGCGGTTTCGAGGGATGTACGACGATGAGTGACGCTTCTTGTGACGCGACAGCAGATCAGCGCGAACAAACTTCTGGTCGCAACCAGGGACATCGCAGATGAAGATTTCCTTGGGGTTGTCTATGGAGACGCGTCAGGTCGTACTTTGTGGCATTTAAGGGCCGCGGCTGGGAAGGGGAGTTGACTCACGGTTCAACTGGTGCCTCTGGAGATGCTCTGCTCTCGAGTACAACTTGTCGCAACCCGGGTGTTCGCAGATGAACCGCCGAGGAGCACCTCTGCGACTCGCACGCTTGTAATTGGCAGCAGCACTGCCAGGCTGACTGGGAGATGGATGGCTCGCCATCGACAGCGGTCATGAGAGCATCGTCAAAAGAGACGCTTGGTGCTTAAGCGTAGCTCGTACTGGTGGCTTGCTAAGCCCGTGTGCAACTTTTGAGGCGATGATGCTCTCATGGACAAGGGGTGCGGATACGTTGTGGCTCGCCAAGAAAGGTGCACCGAAAGGGTTGAAGATATTCGCGACAGCCGGTGAGATGGAGACGGGAGGTGGGCGCAAGATGAGATGGAATTGGAGATTGGCAGAGTTGCGCCTCAGGTGTCCGGCACAACGCGGGGGATGGGCGTGTTGAGCTGCTCCTCCCCAAAAATGCCCCCCTTCCCCACACATCCCAAGCGGAAATGGGGAAGGTGTAACTTCGAGATGAGTGGACCCCCACGTCTGCACGGTGTCGCACGGCTCTTATCGATAGGGCAACCGTGAAGGGTCCACTTACCTGTAGCAGGGCCCAATGAGAGAATGTGTGCAAGTCATTCACTTACCTAATCAAGTCTCCCACTCATTTCTGTGTGAATGTTTGGATGGATGGGGTTGGAAGACGCCATTCCAAATCAGCATCTGATCCAAAGACACCATGGACCAATTAGTTTGCTCTCGGTCCTCTGAATTCAGCAAAATTCGCGTTCAGGTGCCATCATTGAATGTCATCTTGGGATCTAAAAAAGAGCCGAAGAACAGTACTTCTGTCAATGCAACGATATTGCTGTTGAGTTTTCCTCATCGAGGGGTTCTCTAGAGTTACTTGACCAAGTTTCTCTGATATGTCACATGCTAAGCCCCTTACACGATGCCTAGGTTCCATACGCGACATGTTTCGATTTCGAGGAGTGTCTAGTATAAGTAGCCAAGGATCTTGCCCGAGACGTTCTTTCTGCGGGCCTGGTTATGATCCATGAAACCGGCAGACGTGGCGAGCACGACATGGCCGAACTGGCGGGCAGGCAGAAGTCGTACAACCCACTTCTCCAGGTCTCCCAGTCGGACGTTGAAGCGGGGGCTAGTGACGCCACACTTGTTCAAGCTAAGAAGGGACAGTCAAGGGCGATTCGCAGAGCGGTTAGGAGGTGTCAGCGATGAACCGGCCGATAAGTTCAACGACAATCTTACCGCCTCGGTGATCATCGACCTCCTCGAATTCCGAGACATAGCCATGCTGCTGCATGAGCTGGAGGAACTTCACGATGACTTTGGAGGAAGGGCGGAGCACCACTTGGCGCTTGCCCTGCTTCTCGGCGTTGTTGATACTCTTCAGAGCATCGCTCAAGACGCTGGTTCGGACCATCTGGTTCGGGAGGAAAGAGAAAGTGAGGAGGTGGCGATTTCCAGCGAAGATGACCTGTTGGATAGTGAAGTTGTGAATGAGGAAGGAAGACGATCTCGCCACCTGAGCACGAGTTGATGTCAAAACAAATGTCAGAGTGCTTGATTTCTATAGTCCACACACCTATCCGTTACGAATCCTTCTTGCAATCCTTTCCAATGCCGCATTCCCCTTTTTGAGCTTCTTATGATCTGCCCTATGGCTCTCGGCAGCAGGCCCAACCACCTCCAACAACCTGATGCTCGGCATCCCGAGATAGCCCCTCGGCGTCCCAGGCCGCCTATCAAGCCTACCGTTCCTCATCGCAATGTTGTCATTGGTGTACTTCCTCAGCCGCTCCGGAATAACCTCTTCACCCCTCGTCTGATGCTCCAGCACCTTAATCAAGTCCACGAACACGATCTGGGAAGAAGGCAACTTGACCTTGAACAACTCCAGCGCAGCCATGGTCTCGCGAAGATCGTAGCTCACAACGCACACCGTCGCGTACGCCTCAACACCCAACGCATCAAAGGCCTCCTGCGCCTTAGCCCGCGCCTCTTCCTCGTAGAGCTCAAACGTCTCATGTGCAGCGGCAGCATTGTACCACGACCAAGGCTTCGGTTGGAGGCACTTTTTCACCTTCGACTTCTCTAGCATACGAATTGTCCTGGTGCTGCAATGCTTCTTGAAGGTGTCGTGCTGCTGGTCGTTCAGGGGTGACGATCGCCACACAGGCTTGTACCCGGGTGACATGACGTTTATCTCTATCGCTCTGGAATTGCGTTGGTCGGCGTACTGGTATCTGTCTGATAGCTCGCAGGCTACAATGACAATATGGTCGCCTGCCCAGCAATCCGCGAGTGTCTCATTCTCGTTTGCGCAGTCTTCGAAGCGACGGAGCTCGCTTTCGTTGAAAAGGCGTGGCTTTTGAGCCGTCTTGTAGGGCGATGTTCCGGGCGCCATGGAAGTGGAGTTTGGTCAAGGTATTTGATATTCGAAAAACAGTTGGTACACGTAATCTTCGTACTTTGACGGGTTACTTTAACACCTGTACAAAAAAGGGGTTAGGATTCCTCTTGTGCAGTATTTGTAGTGCCGTTCACATACACAGACGCGATTTCAAAAGTTGACTCAGTATTTGGAGGTTCCCCGCCGAGATACGAACTGGCGGCGTGGACACTTACTCAGCCCCGACGTGACTCTTACACCGACGGGTTATGTGATATCCAACAGCAATTATAGGGCATAGCGCACAGACATGTAATAGATAGAGAACATATTTGCTGAATAACCATATGATGTTTCTACCTATCTTGAACTTGGCTATAGAGTTGTTTCCATCGCCAGAACCATTAGAAAGTTTTCCCAGGACTCACTGTCACGGTATGAGCTTGGCCAAAGAAAGTTAAATCCCGCAATCTCGGTAGACCCAGAGCTGAAATGTGTAGAAGAAGACGATCAAGTTTCTTTCTCCAAATATCGACATCGTTGTCGCGTATGAGCGCATCAAGCAGCTCCGATGCAAGGCAACTTGAGTTAGGAAGTTGATCTCCAGCCACCAAGCCAATGTCTAGACTGCGATCAGTAAATTGGGGAAATTTTGAGATGAATCTAGGACAGAAGCGACGTAGGCATAGACGGGAACCATTAGATTTGATCGGACCGGCGTTATTTCTGATGTGAAGGCCGATAAGAGGTGACATGCTGTCCCTTCGTCATCCTGACCCTCTTAACATTGGGGAGACAGCCAACAACATGTGTAAATAGGGTAGATAGTACGAAGAGGTGATAGGACGGATTGTAAAGAAAAGTGAAATAGTCCATATTTGTCTCTTTGAAGCCAAGGTAAATGGAAGCAACTAGGAACTGGTCGTGTGCCATGATAGGTATTCTGTAGCAAACATCTATCAGCCTAAAATAGCTCGATGACTAAACAAAAAAGAGTTCACCACCGGTGTGGCTACATCTCTGGGTGCACATACTGGGAATCGAACTCGGAGCCTGTCGTCGAGTAGGCTATGGGCGTAATTAATTGTCGACCTTGAACCACTCCACCACCCAGCCAGTTTGACCTGACCCGTCGACCTAGACGGACGCCTGCTGGCTGATGACAAGAATGGGACTAGGTGTGTATATGGAGCCTCTCTTCCGGTGTATATTCTGTATGTTCATGTGATGAATAGAATATCGGATGAAGGTCTAGAACACGATGTGAATCCACAGAAGGTACGGTCGGCAGTATCACCAAAGTGCGATGTCCGGCCGTCACGCCCTGAATATCCGTAGTTCGACCGCAACAAGCTGATACTTCTTCCGCGCTCCCTTTGAGCTCGCCGGTCCATTCAGGTGATATCTGACTGTACTTGATGGTGATATGGTGACCCGATTCAGCGACCTCAGCAAATCTACCAGACTACGTCAGCGCGTCAGACTCAGCCTCAACTCGATATGTGGCCCCGTCAACTGGACCAGACTGCGCCCTATTGTGGAAATGACGCGGAAATGAGCCAATCCATTTCAATCTTGTCTTTGAGAACTATTTGTCACTTCACCTGTCGGGCAATCTTCAAGGTAGTGAGTGCGGCGGTGTTCAGCTGGATAGTGTAGTTGAAGCTTTTGAGATGCCTTCATGAGATCTTCGAGTTGGAACCGGGCAGAGTTGGGATACTGTCAGATGGCAATATGGATCAACAGAATTTGGAATGAAATGTCGCAGATGCTTTCAGGTGCTTCGTTGAGGTTGTCATGATTTTCATATAGAAGCCGTCATAATACCCAAAGATATTGTCTAGGATGAACACATTCATCGCAGCGTCGACTACAGCACAGCAACTGTCTTTCAGCTCCCACTGCCAAAGTCACTGATACTTGCAACAATCAATATGCTCATCGCAAACATCTCAATTGCCGTCATGGCCCTGTCCTCTCTTGCCATGGCTGCCCCCCATCGCAGAGACAATGAGTCGGCTACCGGTCTGAGTCTGACTGCTCAGCTTCAACTCGCGGACAGGTAAGTGAAAGCCCTCAACCTAAATCAATACTAAAATCAGCTACTAACACATTACCAGCGGCGTAGCCCGATACCATCTTCTCCCCAAGGACGAAGACTTCATCTATGACTTCAACAAATCCCAAGTCGCCCTCGCCAACCGCCAAACGTTCCCTGCCGTCACCGGCCTAGGCGGCAGCATGGCCGTTGCCTCCCTACCCGGTACGTCCAAAGAAATAATCCCACAGGTCCAAACATGAGCTAATAACACACAAAAAGCCTGCGCAATGTCTTTCCTCCACCTCCACCCCCGTGCCTCCGAACTCCTCGTCGTAACCTCGGGCCGCCTCATCACCGAAATGGTCCCCGAAGCAAGCGTCCTCGACGCAGACGGCAAGCAACGCGTCATCCGCGCCGACCTGGGCCCCAACCAGATGACCGTCTTCCCCCAGGGCTCCTTCCACACCCAGGTGAACCCCGAGTGTACGCCGGCCTCGGCCGTTGTGTCTTTCACCTCGGACGAGGGCGGCACCGCCATGGTTGCGGCGCAGCTGTTTGCGCTAAGCGACGACGTGATTGAGACTTCGTTTGGGTCGAGTATTGCTGGGGAGGATATTGAACGGGTGCGCCAGGCTATTCCGAAGAACCTTGTGTTGAAGGTTGATGAGTGTTTGAAGAAGTGTGGGCTTGAAAAGCGGGCTCTTTAAATGGTCGAGAACTCAGGAGACGTATGGCTACTACCACACTGAAGTAGTAGTTCGGGAGAGTATAGTTAAGATGTTCCCCCTTTTTTCTTTTTTGTGTCTCTGAATAGGAGTGCGGAACATTCGTTAGCAGCTCCTATTCTTTCATCATCTTACCCCTGTTGTCTTTGATTTCCGAAGACTGTTCGCAACTCTTCTTCTTCTTTCACTCATTCAACATATACTTATGGTTAGATAGCTATCATATAGCCCGCATGCAAACAAACATGACAGATGCCTCGTAACATAATATCTCATCACAGCCCAAGATAGGCACTTGACAAGTCCAATTCCGGATCTCTCAACCCAATGGGTCTGGCACCGATAGAAAACGAGTATCAAAGACTAGCAAATGGTGAAAGAACGCAAACGGTATCAAAACAGAAGGTTTTTCTCTTCGAAACCTGTAACACTGTCGCGAGTTTGATGTGCCTTTGTAAATGGTCGAGTTCCAGGAGAACCACGAGGGTGGCGAGGGATCCTTACAACTCGACGAACGAATCCTTGCCAGGTTAACTCGCTTGCCATTTGCGAATAGAAACAGTCTGATAAAGTCCCTAATGAGACTACCTTCGCAACACAGAAAATGAGCCACTTCGGGCGTCGTCAACAGTCGTTCACTCATTTTATTTTTTGTCTTTAATTCATAAGTCAGATCCCCCTATGAACTCTTGCTGCTCTCGCCAGCCTTGTCCTTGCCCTTGTCTTCCTCGACGGCACCATCATCCTCGATCTCAATACCTGACGCAGCACCGCTCAGCCCTTCCTCCTGGTTTCCGCCCTCCATCTTCTCAGATTGCGCCAGGAACCAATCCGCGACCTCTCGCTTGTCGTTGAAAAGCGCCGAGTCGAGAGGAATCTGATCCTTGTCGTTGGCCACCGCGGGGGAAGCGCCGTGGCTGACGAGGTACTTTACTGCCTCGAGGTGGCCGCCCAGGCACGCCCAGTGCAGGCCCGTGTTGCCAAACTCGTTGCCTGCATCGACGTACGCCTTCTTCTCATCTGCAGGACGGCTGTCGAAGGCTGTGATGAGGGCCTTCACAATATCTGTACAACGAGTCAGTCTCAAATTTTGGAGAATTTCCGCAGCATAAATGAGGCAAGGACTTACCGAGGTGGCCGTTACCGGCGGCCATGTGCAGGCAGGTCGACTTGCCCTCATCCTTGGCAGCGGTGATGATTTCGCCTACGGAAGCGCCTTCGCGCTCCGACAGGGACTTGAGCGTTTCTTCGAGATCAGCGAGCTCGCCGGCCCTTGAAAAGTAAATGAGATCATCAATCTCCTCTTCTGAGAGTTTGGGTGCCATTTTCGGTGAGATTTTGTGATTGCTGTCTGGGGACCTAAAATGAGTCTCGAAAGTGAGGTAGAAATTTTCGGGTGATGTGTGTGGAGGTACAGTGTTAAAAGCTGGGATGCGCACTTCACACGGCTCCTCTTCCTCTTCAGATCGCTATTCGCCTTGCCGCCAGCCCATACTAAATCGAAACAAAGACTCCAAAGAAACCCCTAGAAACGCACATGCACGAATGAGATAGATCATAAAGTTCCCATGTGCTCATCGAGCCATCTCGACATGTCTCCTGTGTTGTCCACAGCTTGAATCTCTGCCTTGATCCCGAGAAACAGCATCACCTGTAGTTCTCGTCGGCAATCTCGGTCATTTTCGGTGCTGTCCTCGTCAATCTCCTTGACCATGTTGGTAGCGCGCGTTCTATCTCGCAAGGTGAGAGTGCTGGAGGACTCGAACGTGCTCGGGCCAGGCCGCCTTTGGCTGCCGTTGACATCAAGCTCGCGGCTGGCGATTGCATCCTGACGGAAAGCGAGATGCTCGCTTTTCACGCCGAGCCATTGGATGCTAGGTACAGTCGTTGCCTTTTCGTGTGCATGTCCTCGTGTGCCGTGGCTATAGCAGCGCATGATGGCAATACCATAGCAGTCAAAGTCCACAAGAGCGAAGATTGAAAGCTCAGGTTTGGCTGTGTGAATGAGGTGTACGAACTGCTTGGTGTTCAAATCTGGGTAACCTTTGCCCTACGGATATGTCAGAAAGTCGGAGCGCTGTTGTGCTCGTAGGCAAACCTACTGACCGTGACAAGAATGCCCATGCCAAAGGCAGAAGTCTCCTAATACCTCGCCGATGCCAGTGTCCGATAGGTTGCCTGATCCAGTCAGCAATGTTCCGCAGCCGTTGTCAGCCCAGGCCAACCTCTTTCTCGATCACTAAGACCCATCGCGCTGGACCAAAGTCAATCTCGGATATACTCCTGGCGGAGGGTATGAGGATCCCCTGGATCTTGGTTAGTAATAGCTGTGGTTGAGTCTGGTGCTTCATACATGCTCGCTTGATGAGGCGTCAATCTCGGAAGTCCTGGAATTCAGAATGATAGGCCCTGACAAAAGGCCTTTACTTGCAGCAACCTAAGAAAGGGTTAAAAGATGTTGTCTATCAAGGATGAGGGCCACTCACTATACCGAGATCCTCCCTTCCAAGGCCAAGAGTAAAGGCAAGGTCATCAACAAGGTTGTCGACGACGGACTGTCTTTTGAATAAATCGGTGTCCTGATAGTAGATGTTCCTGTTCCACCGAGCGCTCATCAGTTGACACCATGGAGAGGCAGAGCATGGAGCGCGCACCTCTTGGTGATCAGCCGACCTTCCGTCAGGGCGCCCAGGGAGAGTTGCATGATACGCATGATGCGGGCTGCGTTGGCTAAGCGTCAGGGACAATTATCGCCAACCAAGCATGATTACGAACTGAACTTAGTGGCTTCCTCAACTGTCCGGCCCGGGAAGCGAACTGCTAAGCGGGTTGTCCGAGATGGGCCATGGTTGCTCGCGGATCGATTGGTGGAAGGTCGGGTCCTAAAGGGGATGGATATTTCTCGAGACTGTAGCAGTGATTCTCGAGCAGATATCAGTATATCTTCCAACTTCACTATGGCGAGTCCAGCGGCATTCCCATGTGGATCCGGATTGGGGATGGTCACGACGTTGCTTGATTGACTCGGATTAGACAGCTGTGCCGTTAGTTGGCCCTCTTGGCGGCCGTTGAGCAATGGGGGTGTAGCAAGGTCCATCTAATCAAATCAAAGAAAATGATTCTACAAATGAACAGGCAGTTTAACAAAGCTCGCAATGCTTCAAACGCGCCCGCAAAGTTTGGTCAGGCTCAGGATTTCGGCGGATTGTCTCTCATTGGAGGGTTGGTACGAAGAAGAGGGTGTGCAAGAGAAGCTGGAGGTGAGAGCTGCAGGAACAGACGAAGGAGGCGCTCCACATTCAAAAGCCATTGGCCAATGATGGAAGAGATCCCGCTAGTGGAAAGAGCACCGTGCGACACGGGGAGATAATGGGTCGTTACCTAATCAGCAGAAGTTTGGAGTAACGAACAGCTTAGGTAAGGCATTTTTGGTATTAGGCTCTCGAAAGCCGGTGCCGCTGAAGTTTATTTTGCGCTGGTCTCTGATTGTGTGACATCCTGGCACCTGTCAGATGGCCTGCGAATTTGCGTTTCGCCCGTCAATTTAGGTATCGTTCATGCTTGGGGCTGCTTGGGGCTGAAATGCTTCCCAACAATCTTGAGCTAAAGTCAGCTGCCTCAAACCATCAACAATGCCTCGAGTGTCCAAGGACTGACAATGTCGATCAAGGCGGACTAACACCTCTATTGGCCTTGTTTCCATCTCCGCCAAATCCTGATTTCCAGCAGGGATCTCGTACGAGGATGTGGTGGGTTTCTCCCGACTACATGCATCTTCCAATCATTGGAGGGACACCGCCTCACAGAGACGCGCAGGGGCCGCCTTCTGAGAGCTGACTGGGCCACCATTTATTAATAAGTGCATGAATCCCATCCCACCACCCTCCGATTCGATCCAGGCCGCCCTCAACATCGTTCCTCTGCACCACGACAACGTCGACGACTTCAACCGCCGTCACACAGGGGACAATTACCGCCTGCCATGGTCGCCGAAAAAGCCCCATCCGTTGCGTCGAGCAATGGCACCCTCGGAGCCAAATCCGTTCAGTCTCGCAAGCGCGTCGCAGAAGCCATCGCCGAGCAGGAATGGCCCAAGAAGCCCCGCATCGACGCCAAAACCGATCGCACAAAATGGAGGATGAAGGACGAGGACGGTCGACACACCTGGAAGTACCTGGAAGGCGACGATGCCGCAAAGGACTGGCCCCAGACCTACGCCGACAAGTACTACTTGGGTCTTCCTCTTGTCAGTCCGCCCTTTGCTGCTGCGACTTCAGATTCAGATATGTCACTGTTCTTCGCTAACACGTCTCACCCCCACACACAGGACCTCCCAATTCTTCCCGAACCCGAAAAACCTCTCGATGCGACACGCAATGGCCTCGAATTCGTCGAAAAGCTCCAACTCCCCTACGGCGACTGGGGTTGCGAATACGGCGGGCCCATGTTCCTCCTGCCAAGTGCCGTTATCGCCTGGTATGTCACCAAGACGCCCATCTCATCCGCCTTCGCAACCGAGATCAAGAACTATCTCTTCGCCCGCGCACATCCTGAGTTGGGCGGTTGGGGTCTTCATACCGAAGGTATCAGCACCGTCTTCGGCACCTCCATGAACTACACAACCTTGCGCCTCATTGGTGTCGATGCAGAAGAGCCCATCATGGTCAAGGCCAGAGCTAGACTCCATGAGCTCGGCGGCGCAACGCAAGGGCCGCACTGGGCCAAGTGGTGGCTCGCAGTCTTGGGAGTTGTAGATTGGGAGATTGTCAACCCTGTTCCTCCCGAGATCTGGTTGCTGCCAGACTGGGTCCCTATCGCCCCTTGGCGGTGGTGGGTTCACATTCGCCAAGTCTTCCTACCAATGTCCTACGTATACTCCAAGCGCTGGACTTGTGAAGAGACTGAAGTCATTCGAGACCTCAAGAAGGAGCTCTTCCCCGAGAACTGGGCATCCATCAACTGGAAAGCGAACCGCAACAGCATTGCACAGGTCGACAACTACAACCCCAAGTCCTGGCTGCTCAACACGGTGAACTGGTGCCTGGTCAACATCTGGAACCCTTATTTGCGAACAAATTGGATCAAGGAGAGAGCTGAAGCTTGGACCAGCGACTTGGTTGACATGGAGGATGCCAACACGGACTACCTGGGTCTGGCACCAGTCAACGGTCCCATGAACCACATTGTCTGCTACATTCGAGACGGGCCAGGGTCCTACACCGTCCGTCGACACGCCGACAGAATCATGGACTCCCTATGGGTCAATGCAGAGGGCATGCTGGGCAACGGCACCAACGGCGTCCAATGCTGGGACACCGCCTTCATGATCCAGTCGGTCGTCGCTGCTGGTCTCGAGACTGATGATCGTTGGCGTCCCATGCTGGAGAAGGCCCTTGGCTTCCTCGACAGGCAGCAGATTCGTGAAAACTGTAAAGACTCGGATAAGTGCTACCGCCAGCAGCGCAAGGGCGGCTGGCCTTTCAGCAACAGAGAACAAGGCTACGCTGTCAGTGACTGCATTTCGGAGGCGCTCAAGGCCGTCATCTTGCTGCAGAAGACCGAGGGCTACCCCCAGCTTCTCGATGACCAGCGTATCTTTGATGCCATCGACTCCATTCTCCTTTACCAAAACGAGACCGGAGGCGTGGGCTCATACGAACAGCGTCGCGGAGGCGAGTACATGGAGTTGCTCAATGCCGCCGAGGTCTTTGGCCGCATCATGATCGAGTACGACTACCCCGAATGCACTACTGCCTGCGTCACGGTCTTGTCGCTCTTCCAGAAACACTGGCCCGACTACCGCAAGGATGACATCCGCATCTTTGTCAAGCGTGCTGTGAACTGGATCCGTTCCCACCAGAACATTGATGGTTCTTGGTACGGAAGCTGGGGCATCTGCTTCACCTATGCGGGTATGTTTGCGTTGGAGAGCCTGGCCTTTGCAGGAGACACCTACAGCACTAGCAAAGTCTCCCGGAGGGGTTGTGACTTTTTTATTTCCAAGCAGAGAGAGGATGGCGGATGGTCCGAGAGCTACAAGGTAACTTTGCTCCTGTCCAATGCTCGCAAGCACCTGAACTGACGATGACAGGCTTCCGAGACAATGGAGTATCACGAACACCCGAGAGGATCCCTAGTAGTGCAGACCGCTTGGGCACTGATCGGCCTCATGGAGGCTGAGTACCCTCACATGGAGCCCCTTCGAAAGGGTATCCAGTTCCTCATGGACCGCCAGCAAGCCAATGGTGAATGGCTCCAGGAGACGATGGAGGGCGTTTTCAACAAGAGTTGCACGATTGCGTATCCCAACTACAAATTCACGTTCCCGATCAAGGCACTCGGTATGTTTGCCCGCAAGTATCCAGATGAGAAGATCACCCCTGGCATCAGCGATAAGGGGGACTTGTAGAGATCTAGACCGTTGCCTTCACTTCTAGAAATGGTCATTTATCAAAAAGTAGAACATAATTAATCTTAATGAGACATGATTCCTACCTTCAGATTGGATGAAAGAATCGGGCATTGCAAGAATGCAAAGCAAGGCATCAGACGACTACAGCGGCCGGGACCATCTCAGGTGATGACACAGTAGACGCGTACCTATTATACGATCTTGGAACGGCCAGGCGCAATGGGCTTCGGATGAGGCAGGACGGGGTTATAGGGAGCGAATTCACCTCGGCTATCACCACGAGTCGAGGTGCTTGATCGGGTGACTCCCTCGGTGATGCTCCCGAGGGTTTCAGACGGCGGTGTTTCGATTCACTATCTGGTCACTTTTTTTTTCGACTTTTTGTTGGCTTCATTTGTAAGTATATGCAGCGAGGATACCGGTTTACGATTGTAGCCTAAGTTTGACTCAGAGACCTTCTATATTCCAGGTATCAATGCTTAATGTACGTGCTGCTTCTGCAATTCAACATGGGGGTTCTTCGTCAATATGGCGATGCTTCGTGATGGATATTCGGTGAGCCAGGCCATTTCGGTGAGTCGGGCGGTGAGAAGGTATAGGCGGAGCTTGGCGGCAGAAAGTGGGGAAGCTGCCCCACCACAGCTTCCAGAACAGTCTGACCCCTCTGAACTGGAGGCAGCACCGACCGAACCTTGTTGGACCTGCAGCTGCTCTACTGCATCACCGTTTGTTCTCTGACCGTTTGCTTTTCTCCCTTCCACTTCAATAGGTTTGCCATCTAAATCTTCTTTCAACCCAAAATTGTTCTCATTGAGACTGCGTCGCATTTATAACCACGACGCAGCACCAATCCGACTTTCCAAGCTGACTCCTTCCCGCATCGATTACCTTCCATTCCCTGAATTTCAACCGAAACAAACAACCTAAAATGTCCGAATACACAGCTGGCGCAGCCGGCATGACCGCCGTCGACAATAGAGACTGGGAAACCGCCATCACGCAGCTCTCCAAGGCGATTAAGGTCATCAAATCCCCCAAGTGGCTCATCGGTCGCTCCAAGGCCTACATCGGCACAAAGGACTTCCGCCGCGCCCTCCGCGACGCCGAGCTCGCCCAAGTGGCCGCCGCGGGCCGCAACAACCGCCCCTTTATGGCCGACGCGCAGTATCGCCGCGCCGTCGCCCACTTCCGTCTCGGCGAGCTGGCCAACGCGGATACCTGCGCCACCTGGGCCCAGCGTATGGTCGAGGGCAAGAGCATGGCTGAGCTGAGGGCGCCCGAGGTCGACGACAAGGGGTTCGCGCAGGGTACTAGGAAGGCGCTGCAGGATGAGATAACGGCTGTTCGGCAAACGGAGGATCCGGCGCAGAGTAAGTTTGGCGCTATCTGGAACTCCATTTGCGCTTTGCGGCTGCAGATCCTGGGCGGGCTGGAGAAGCTTGCCGAGGACGACGAGAAGAGAAAGGTGACGGTCAAGTTTGCGCCTGACGTCTCGCTTGATGCTCCCGACACGGACGAGGTGGAGGAGTTTACAAAGGAGGAGATTGAGGTGGCCAAGGCGGAGGCGGTTGCGAAGCCGCAGCCAAAGAAGGATGTGCGTGTGGACTTTTTCCAGAGCAGTACTACTTTGACTGTCACTGTCTTTGCAAAGAACATCCCCAAGGACGACTTCAAGGTCGACTATGGCGAGTCTGAGGTATGTCTCCCTTCATCAATTGAGACCAGCACAAAGAACCAGGCAGATGCTAACAAAGCTCTCCAACAGATCAGCATGTCGCACATCCCCGGCCATGAGCCCTCCTACACAATCCATCTTCACGGCCGTATTGACCCTGCTGGCTCCAAGCACACCGTCACCGCGAACAAGATCGAATTTCAACTCAAGAAGGCGGAGGCCGTCAAGTGGCCTACACTGCAACGCCCTGCCGACAGCGCTGCTCCGGCAGCGAACAAGTCCAAACCATCGCCCGCGACGACCACGACAGCACAACCCAAGGCCGCTGCGACCTCCGGCCCCACATATCCAACCTCCTCCAAGTCCGGACCCAAGAACTGGGACAAGCTCGAAGGCGCCGACGACGATGATAGCTCCGATATCAACGGGTTCTTCAAGACGCTGTACAAGGACGCTACGCCAGAGGCAAGACGTGCCATGATGAAATCCTTCACCGAGAGCAACGGCACCTCGCTCAGCACCGACTGGGAGGACGTGAAGAACCGCAAAGTTGAGACTGTCCCTCCTGAAGGTGTCGAGGCTAAGAACTGGGAGTCTTGAGGTGTTCAAGTCGGTTGATGGAGCTCAAACGAGGCTCATCTGATGAGCAGCGAAACGTACGGTTGCTGGTATGAATTGGGAGGCATTGGCATCGCCCAGTAGGAATGGTTCGAGGGACATTATGATATGACATTGACGACGAGGCGTTTGGGCAGTGATTTTTGGGCATTTGCCCTTCCGCAGACACAAAAAAAGTAGTGCATCACGGGAGAGCGCGAAGGCATGTTCTTCTTTCCTCTGAGTCTGGCGTTAGGCTTCGTTGATCGAAAAGTAAGCTGCTGGCCGATACGTAGGTAATTGAAGACCAGCAACCACAATTTCCTTGAGTTGCTTGCCATGATCTCCGGTTGGCCATATAACTCCATCGTGTATAAATGCCGTATGACTAAGACCGACGCCTCAATATCGGTTCTTTAGATTGTAACAGACTAAGGTATATATACATACATAATCTCAACTGACTGAGCGCATTATGTCCACGTTGGCTTCTAGACTTCTGGTCCACCGTCTTCCACATCTTCAGATGGGCTCAAGCAATGGCCGTAGAGCACTTTTGAAATCCTCATCAGCGACATATGTGCCCTTGAGCCAGCGGCGCCCGCTTGCCGTGTCGAAAGCGCGGCGACCGTGGAGAACGCGCCTGTTGTCAAATAGCACGCACTCGCCCGGTTGAAGCCTGTGCTGGTACATATTGTCTTCTTGCTCCAGGGTTTCTTGGAACATGCGCGCTCCCTTGATCCAGGCTTGCCAACCTTCAGAGCTTGATTTATCGGGCGTGCCTGGCAGAGGTGCTTGGAAGGGCGGGGACCACCAGACCTCGCGGTCTTCCCAGTTTTTGCCAGCGATGACGGTTCGCACTTGACGGTAGAAGAAACCATTCTTGGCGTAGTGGTAGGGAACCGGGTATTTAGTCAATGCAGAGTAGGACTCGGGTTGAAATCTTTCGAGCCAGGTGGCGGCGTGTAGGGCATCGCTGAAGATTGACTCACCCCCCGAGCACGAGTTCTCTAAGCAATGAAGGAGCTGGATGCGAGGCGGCGACTCGAGATAAAGCATGTCCGAGTGCAAGCCCAGGTAAGAGGAGGTGTAGGCGACGTTTTCAGCATCGGGTTTAGAGATGACGTCCCAGGTGTGGCCGTAAAAAGTCTCCTTGACAGCGCCGAACTTCAGAGCTATATCAGCTACGGCAGTTTCTGTTTGAGGCACGTTGGTGAGGAAGACGAGCCCAATCTTGGCGAGCGAGAGGGCAGTTGACCTGAATGCCGGGCCTCCCTCCATGTAGTCTTTGTAGTCGATCCTCTCGAGCTTATCAAGAAGATTTTCCCTTTTCCACATATATCTCTCGGCCTTTTTCACACTGGCATGGTGGAAGAAAAGGACTGGCCGTTCGGTCAACAACCCCGCAAGACTCTGGGGGCCAGTGGCGGGAAAGACGGAGACGTGGCCGACGTCGGCAGCTCGCGGGATGTCGTTTGTCCAGCGAATCTCATAGGAGCCATCCGGCATCTTCTTTGCGCTCTCGAAAGCAATGCCACTTGGGATTTCGGCGGTGGAGAAGGACTTGTTCCCCGAAGAAGGACTGACGCAGTGCGGGCAACCACAGCGGTCTCGGAGCCAAGCCACATCAATGTGCTTCGTATGTTTTTGGCCGAAACATTGACCGGTTACGAGAAGCTCCTGGCGACTCGGCAAGATGGCAACTTTCACCTCCTCTGGCTCTGCATGCGCCTTTGGGTCTACCCGCTGCGCGGCATCGGGTATCGTCGCAGCCACGTCGGCCTGTTGTTCATGGCGCAGGGCCACGGCCTCTTGGGTCTTTGGAGAGGTGGTGTGGACGCTGGCGGAGGCCGAAGGCAGGGCACGTTGGCGGAGGAAAGGAGAGGGGATTGTCGGTCTCGTCGTCGCATGCTCGAGGAGGCGTGCCGCGCGCGCCGCGGGGCGGAGAGTTCGTGCCAGGACCATGGTCGAAGCCTTGTGCGGAACAGATCGTTGTCGAGCGATAGTATGCTGTGAACGGAGAAACACAGAACAAGGAGGTTGTGGCAGCTACTGGGAAGCTGCGCGACGCGGAGGTCAGGAAGAGAGGTGTAGCCAGAGTTGGTCAGTTCAATGAGACGTCGCGACCTTGGTTGTGTCGCAAGAGCCGAGGGAGGGGCTCTCTATGGCAAGGCACCTCAGGTGATGAGAGAAGCTGTAGGTAAGAGAGTAAGTAAGTACGGTTGGTGGGTGTGCACAGTAAAGACTGGATGAGCGGACAATGATCCGATGAAAGAGGGGGAGGTTGGTCGGTCCAATCCCATTTCGTCGCTGCCCTAAGGGAAGCTCCGGTCTCGACTTTCCGTTGACGGCGGGACGGAAGCTCCCACCTCAGAGTTCAGGGGAGCAGCGGCGGCAGCAGGGCAGGAAGGGGCCGAAACGAGGGGACGAACCTCGGTCGGATGGCATCTTTTTCTGGGGAAGGCGGGGGAGCTCAGTCACTGTGTGCCGCACTGTAAATTCCCTGAGGGGCACCTTCTTCACATGCATTTTACACTACGCATTCTGCAAATGGAAGCTTCCACCAGTCTTCCATCTTATCTAATCTTTTCCATCTCAACTTTCAGCCTTCCATTGTGAATGTGTCATTGCTGCAATCTAGGCCATATTCATTCGAAGCCTTGATGCCCATGCTCTAAATGGGCAGTATAATTTTCCAGCCTTTACCATGCTCTCATCATCACACTTTCTAGCGAACCCGAGCTCAAGGACAATTGAATCCTCTGTGCCACATACCTTTACCCAAGCCTTGACATGTCCAGAGATTGCCCGACATCACATGCTGTGCATGATTTACTAGCCAACGCGAAAACACCCCTCGTGACCGTAACCTGCGCCGGCACCATTTTAGGATCTCGAGCGGCGTGTGGCCCCTACACATGAGTCTTCATATGCAAACATTGTGGCTTTAGGCTAATTGTATCACAATCTCATCATCCTTCGTCGTGCATCGGACCATCTGAAGAGCAACTCTGTGGGAAAGTCACAGGCTCGTGACGACATGAGTAGCGGGGATGGAAACAAGTTATTGAAAGTTTCTCTTGGCATTGCTAACGATGCTGCGCCGATTTAATACAGGCCAGTTGTTGGCTATTCGACAAGGCTGGTCCCAATTTCCACACGTGTGTTGTTGATATCCTATAGTCCTTCCCGAGGCAGTCACTATTTGAGAAAGGAAAAGAAAGGACAAAATCGCAAATGAGCCGGCGGGATTGAATGGGGAACCAGAGCTCAAGGCTGATGAATATTTCCCGACTAAACTTGCGAAGTGAAAATTGACCGTGTTGACCCTTTTCTGGTTTTTCGGGATAGGCTTCGTCACTAATCATAATTATCTTCGTAAGACGATGCTATTTCGTAAGCTTTTTGCAGTCGTCCAAATTTTCAGTAGAAAGGTTTCGCTTCCTTCTGCTCACACTTAGTACAAGATCACATCAGGGTGCTCGCTTTGACTTAAGGCCTATCACATTCAATCCCTGCACTGGATCCATAGGACTAACCTTATAAACTCGAAAAACATGACGAGCAAAAGTGAGGACTCGCAGACACCGATCAAAGTTTACGCAACGTTCTGCCCAAATGTAAGTTCATAATCTTACAATTTTGGCAAAGTTTACACCACAGCAGGCATTGGCAACAAGGCAAGATTATGGACCAATTTGAGTAGAAATATTATCAACATCCAGCTGAATACGAAGAATTACGAAAGGACAGGCTTTTGCCAAAGAACCCTCTTAAACAGTGGAGCTGTTAATTGCCTTCCAAATCTCATCGCTCAACGTCTTGTTGGGCGTAAACCACTGCTCGAGCCCCTTGTTCTTTTGCAGCACCAGGTCCGCCACCAACCTGCCGAATACGACGCTGCCCTCGGCGTTGAGGTGCGTGTTGTCGCTCTCGACGAGGTTGTACGAGTGGGCCTTTGTCTCGCCAATCGCCTGGACGTACTTGCGGCTGTTGAGGTTGAGGTCAATGTACGTCGTCTTGGTCTCCGTCGCCGCGGCGATGGTGCGCTCGCGCTCGTTGGAGAGGTTGTTGGTCACGACGCCCGCCGAGTTGAAGCTGCGGCGCGTGAGGGGGGTGACGAGGATGGGGGTGGCGCCGAGGGCCTTGATCTCCTTGGCGAGGTTGCCGAGGTTTGTCTGGTACTGGTCGAGGGAGATGTTCTTTTCGGGCTTTTGGTCGTTGTGGCCGAACTATTTGACAGTGTTAGTAGGTCCCAGGGGTGGATGATGTTGAGGATGAGAGGGTATGTAAGACTCACCTGAATCGTCACGTAGACATCAAAGTTGGCCGTGTTGGACTTGACTGCGTCCTTGACGGTGGCCCAGTGTCCCTGGCTGACATAGTCGACCGTAGTACGTCCGTTGCGGCCGTAGTTTGTGCCGAACGCAGGCTTCTTCAGGAAGCTGAGGAAACCGTTGCCCCAACCGCCACCACCGGTGGACTGCACCGCGGTAGTCGAGTCACCGGCGAGGAAGAAGGCGGGAGGCTTCGCGGCTCTCTTGTCCGCTGACGGGGCAGCCGAGGCGAAGGCCGGGAGGAAGGCCGCGGCGGAGAAGAGGGCTTGAGGCTTCATCGTGGAGTCTTCTGTGGTAGTCGTCTGGTTCGACTCTTCTTCAAGAGGTGCTGCTAGTTGCTGGGTTCTGCGTGGTAATGACTGTGAAGCTGAAGACGAAGCTGAAGAAGCAGAGGCAATAGCAAAACCAGAGGCGGAAGCACCTCGTCGCACCGGACACCCATCCTCTTCATATACGAGAACCATCTCGGGCCCCCCTTTACCCTTTACGAGCTTACCGACAGCTTCAATTACCACCTAAACCTTGCCACGCTTGCCTCGCCGTCCCCGGTCGAATGCTGGTGCAGCCAAGGAGAAGCTCTCGAATCCTTGATGCAACCCAAGCCGACAGCCGCACCTCCCAGGGCCAGGAACCCAGCTTCTTCCTCCCTTCGTTTGACACGACGAACCCGAACGTCCAAAGCCCTGCAGGGAAAATTAGATCGAGCAACAAAAGCTTAGGGTATTACACCGTGGAATCCGGCGAAAGGCAAAAGAAACAACCTGTACCTACTTTACTCCACACCCCTGGCAGGTCTAGGATGATGCTGGGATACTTGGCTGTCCCCCACTCACGATGGTGTAGTGGCCGTAGCTTGGGAATTTTCTTCCGTCAATGGGATGAAGACAAAGTTTAGTAGATTACCCCTCTTGCCTCTCCCCCCCGGCCCCCCCCCCCCCCCGACTCCCCCAAAAGCTTAGCCACGTTCGGAACTGGTGGAGGAATGCAACGATTCTCCGAGACAAATTAGCTCTTTGAGCAGACTAAAGCTCCCATGCCTTCTAGCTTTCCCGTCGTGCCATATTTCTTCCCCTTGTGCTAGGGTTGGGATTGGCAGTAAATTGAATTGAGCAGAGATGCTACTCACGTCATCTGCTGCAGGTATAGACACCACACCTCCATTTTTCGTCGCGGGCATTAGCCTCAGCTACCCTCCTGCACGTCGGGCGAGCGGACGGCATCTAGCCCAGTTAGATCTCTAGAAGGATTCAGATAGATCGCGGGGTTATCGGGGCGAGGTCGGGGAAAACACCACCATTCCCAATCCATAGGCGCGGTGTGGGGTTGGCTCGGTCCCTGGAATAAGATTGACCGTCGCAGTTCGTCCGAATAGGACACGAGGGCCCGAGTCTTGGCCGGTTAGTGCCATGGTGCAAAGCTTGAGTGGTCATGGTGTGGTGTCAAGTTGTGGAGGGGGCTCCGTGATGAAGGGGGAGGAAGAAATTGGCTTGGGTATGCTTGGTAAAGTCTTGGACAGACCGAGAACAGACGTTGACTCCGGCCGGGGAGCGGCGAAAGCACCCCGTTCAAACCGCGGGAGGCCGAAGACGTGACTCGTGGGGAAAGGGAGAAGACTGTCAACGCCAGGTAAATCTGCACGCCTGTGACCCGAGACGATTGTGAATTGACAGGATAGATTGCCTCATCATCATCTTACATTCATGGTGGGGTATTCTACTGTAGCAAGAAAGGCAATGGCATGCTGTCGCCGAATATGCCGTAGTCCGAGTCTTCCGTTTAATTCATACAATGTGTTCAATGCTCAAGCAACCATAGACACCCCCCAATACTCGTATACACACCATGGATCTCCATGCATGGTCAGCACCGCAAACCCATACCCCGAGACCCGGCTTGTATCTTTCACCGCCAAGCTTTTTCATGCGCTTTTCCAACGCCCGCCCGGATCGTGAATATGAAATGCGGGAAATCATCTGTTGCGGTTGCTTGACCACCTCTTAACCATAACTTCGCGAATCTTGTACAACTTAAAGACCTCGGCCGGTCCCTTCTTCATCGCCTCTTCTAATTGGGGAGGCGGTGGAATGTCGACGTAGACCAATACCAAGCTCTTCTGGACGTGGGAGAGGACACGGACGATCCCGTGAAGCCAGTGCCAGGTCTTACGCGGGATCTTGCGGTCACTGTCCTTCCACCACTGGTGGGAATAGGATGGCAGGAGGATGGCGCCGAATTCGGCGTGATCAAAAACTGGTCCTTTGGCGTACAGCATCCAGTCGACGCCAAACTTGATCCCTGCTCTGGGAACCCAGCCCAAGGACCGGAAGTGATGATACACGGCGTAATTCACCAAGAACCCATCGTCCGGCTGGAGCTCTTCGGTAGGGCGACGGGGAAAGTAAGAGTATTGTCTGAAAAGGTCGAACAGCTCGGGAGTAGGGATCGGAGTCTTGGTAGCAGGGTCAAGAACTCGAAGAGCGCCCATGCCGAAAACCAGGAAGAATGCTTCCTCGGATGTGAGCTGAAGATGTTCCTTGTTCACGACCTCGACTGGCTCCGCAAGGATTTCGGACAGCTTCTCGAGCTTCTTAACATCCTCAAGTTTAGTCGCCTCTTCCGTATCTGTCTCCAAGACGCTAGGGCCCAATGGCGTGCCATTGACAGGCGGTGTCGCTTTTCCATTGTTTCCGTTGAAGAGAGCGAGGCTAGGGCTAGGCGGATCGGACAGCTGATATGTGGCCGACTCGACCTTGGGCGAGAAACGAACGCTCTTGCGGCGTTTGGCCGATTTTGGTGTTGATGGGATCTCGATAGAGCTAACAGCGGATTTTGCCACCCCGTTCAACCCGTTTTGGTGAATCATCTTGTCATTAGTATTCGTTATCAAATCGTTGATCAGGTGACCGTTCAATCCCACATCTTCGTGGATTATCGAGAGCTTGGGTGTTTCGGAGGGGATAATGTCGGCAACGGGGCTGTCGTTAACATTCGGTACCGTGGCGTGTTCGCCATTTATCGTTCCATTGGTAACAAGCTCGGCGTTGGGAAGAGAAAGAAGCTCCAGGGGCCCAACCGGCGACGCAATCTGGAATATGGCTGAGATGCCGTTGACAAGTGGTTCCTCGGCTTGGAGCTCGAAGGAATCGAGGCCAACTCCCCTGAGCACCCTAGGCTCGTGGAGGCCATTGACTTGCCGAGCACCGCCATTCAACTTCTCAAGCTCAGTTGAGTCTGCTGTCGCAGACAGAATATGCGAGTTGGGAAGGCACAGCAGTTCTAATGGGCCAACTGGAGCACTCCATGCGACAGGAAGAGGTGCCAAAGGCATTTGATCCACCGTCAGGGCCTTTTCGGATTCGACGACAGCCTCAAGACCCTGGACCGAATGAAGGAAATCACTGGGCTTGACAATCTTAGCCGGCTCGATAGTTGTAGATGTCTCTTGGAAGGTCGAGGTTTCGGTAGAAATTTGGCTGACAGATTTAGGCTCGGCGACGGGCGCCACTGTTATCGTATCGACACCGTTTGCTTGGAGGTGTTTGGATGTGGCGGCAAGCGCTGATTTAAGGGAAACAAGTGGCTCAGGCAGGTTATCCGCGTCTGTCGAGGCTTCTCGCTCAGGATCATCATTGTTCGCTGCATCAAGGATGGCGGCAGCCTCGGTAACCAAGGCAGCAGAGTTGACTACGCCATCTCCCGACACCTGAGTCGCCAACTGGGCTTCCTGGATTCGCAGTTGTCTGATAGCTTCTTGCTCTGTCTTGGCTCTCTCCCACTTCATCTGCCTCCGCTCTTCACGTCTGTTGGCCGTTACCAGCTCGCTGACCTGGCCCGGCACCAGTCCTCGCCTGACATGCTCGCGCTTCAACCAGTTGGGCTCACTTCGACTCAAGTTGCCCTTGCCGTAGAACCCTTGTTCCCACAGCGCGCGCATAGACTTTTCGTCGATAATGTTGACAGATTTGGATTCTGGAGACCAGATACCCTCGTGCACAATGGACGGTTCAGCAGGCGGTGGGAACAAGGCTTGTTTCGTCCATGCGAAAAGGACATGGAATAGAGAAATTGGATTATTCGGATAAAAGCTAGGAAGCGGAAATGTCCGTATGGGAGCAGGCAACTCGTAAATCTGGTGCAACGGGGGGCCTCGCGGCCGCGACGTTGTCGGAGACTTTGAAGAGCTCTGGGCAGGCATTATAGCCTGCGCCGACTGTGAAGCCGTATTTTTAGTTTGCGACATTGTGCTAGCAAATCATGTCTGTCTTTTGGGCACTGATTAGCTTCTTGTTCATGGCTTAGTGCTTGGAAAACAGAAAGAATTGTGTCCAATGTTTGCATCAGATACCGTTGTAGTCTATATTGTTTCGCGGCACAGAGGTTCAATGAAGACGCACTCTTCGCACAATGGGTAATAGGTGTCATCATAGCAAACGTCGAGGTGGAAGAGCAGCGAAGTCACCCATTTTCAATCGCGCGATAGAGTCATCGCAACGACTGAACAGGGCTTGGCCAACCGCGGTAACCACCTCATGGACCAAGGGAAGAGATTGAGAGAGCGCAGCAAAGACTTACTTGATTGAGGAATTTTCCACCCGTCCAGCCGACAGATCACCCGTCAATTGGGCCATGCAAGCCGAAAATCACCTCACTTTTTCGAGGCAGCTCGATCCTGTTCGGCAGACGTGTGTGGATGGTGAAGGAAGAAAACGTCGTTGCTCGCAGAAAATTTCAGCGTAGAAAAAGGTCTCCGCCGTCTCCATCGCTCGCTTCCGTCAAAGTCCCCGCCGTCTGACTCTTTCAAGGTTTGCTTGCACCCACTGGTCCGTGCCCAGACCCGGCTGCTACCTCCGGCCGGAATAACTCGGGTGGGGACAGCCCACGGGTGCAGTACCTACGCAAGGCACTTTCTGTCTTACCTAATTCAAGCAGATTCAAGCAGACTCAAGCCTTAGGCTTCATTGAGAGCTCCCGCCACAGTAACCGCTCTCAAGTTACCACATGTGGCTGGTGTTCACAATTTCAAGCTTCGAGCTTGGTGGGGCGCGTCCAAATTCCCATGCCACGCGACTCCCAGTCTCCTGTCCTACCGACTTTTGTAAGGTTATCGGCCCCGTCTCCGCTGAGCTTACGACCAATTTCCAATCTCTTCGCTTCTGGGTAGGATTCGGGAGTCTGACATTTCCCATGCTGTCGGCGATTTCGTGACGAATTTTTCTTTCCTTCTTTTCGCGGCTCTCTCCTCTCATGGCATTTGGGCGCACCATCTGTTCCTAATCCT